GCTTGTCAGGATCGGGAAGTTTCAAGACCTCATGGTGTGTCAACGCATGCTTCAGATGTCTGAAAGCAGCCTCACACCTGTCTGTCCACTCCCACGAGGTGTCAAGGCGGGTCAGGTCAGTCAAAGGGACGGCCACCATGCTATAGTTCTTAACAAAATTACGGTAGTAGCCGGTCATCCCTAAAAAAAACCTCATCTCAGTCATAGACTGAGGACGCGGCCAGTCATCGGGTGTCAAACCCTCCGCGGAAATCTCATGACCCAAGTACAAGATATGGTTGCGGCCAAACTCACACTTCTCACCGTTGATCTTGAACTTGTGTTGTCGAAGGAGACTAAGGACTTTGTCCAAATGGGCTACGTGCTCTTCGACAGTCCTACTAAAGATAAGTATGTCATCGAGGTACACGATGACAAACTTGTCCAAGTAGTTATGAAAGATCCGATTCATCGTGTGCCGAAAGGTGCCAGGAGCATTGCAAAGGCCGAAAGGCATCACCACAAACTCGTACAGACCGTACCTGGTCTGAAATGCGGTTTTGTGCTGATCCTCGGACCGTATAGCAATCTGGTGCTACCCGGACTTCGGATCTATCGTACTGAAGTACTGGCACCCTTGCACTCGATCTAACAAGTCGTCGATGCGCGGTAGGGGCTATCAATTCTTGAGAGTGATGGCATTGAGGCCCCTATAGTCAATGCACATCCTCAGGGTGCCCCCCGTCTTTGGTACAAATAGGACTGGAGAACCATAAGGAGAGACACTCAGCCAGATCCAACCCTTCTCTACGAGTTCCTTGAGTTGCCGACGAAGCTCATCAAGCTCGCCTAGAGACATCCGATAGATCCTACCCTTTGGGATGCTAGACCCTGGGATAATCTCTATCGCGCGGTCGATCTCCCTCTCAACAACCCTTGTAGGGTCTTCAAATAGATCATGGTACTTGGCAACTACTCCTTCTATCTCCGGCAGCATTTTCACCGGTTCGCCTGCTGCAGAGACATATACTAGATACATACCCTCCTCTGGATTCTGCTTGTAATAATTATAGAACGCGGCTGTTCACATGCATCCGTAGGACTCGATCAGACTAGTAGCCTTAAACTTACGTAATCTAGCGGTCCCTCCACCTGGCAAAGTGTGTTTGACCACTTTTCGGTCCAGTCAAACTGGGTTGTGCAACGGAGAGGTAGTACATACCTAACAAAATATCCATAGGGATATCATCGCTCACTAGGAACGCAACATGATGTCTCAGTTTCCCTCCCTCGTACGGGAAACAACACAACATTCTGGAGGTAGTCAGTAATTACCATGCGCTGTTTGTTGGCACAGGTCGACTCCACATGTCAACTCAGGCGCTGCACTTGCCCCTGTAAGCGCAGCCTCTCAACACAAGCGCGACTGATGAAGTTCCTTGTCGAGCAAGTGTTATAATAGGCCCCGGCCTTGCAGCCGCCGATGACTACCTCGCCGACAAACATCTCTCCCTTAGGGGTCGTCCAAGAAGCTAGTGGGTCTGATCTAGACCACTCCTCTAGCTCCTCTTAGGACTCGAACACATTCATCGAACAGAGGCTCGATGGGTCTGAATGTGTTTGCGGGACGACGATGGAATCAGTAGCTTGGGCCATCTCTCGAGATTGTGAGGGTGTGTCCACCACCTCGACCCTAGCAGGAACTACTATTCCTACTGGCCCGACGCGTTTCCTGGAGCAGTGTCAGAACTGCTGGCCCCATTGCTACCAACGGGAGCAGAGGATTCCAATGCTTGCCCCATCGTAGGCGGGATCTTTTCGGTCACCTTATTCCGACACTTGAATTGGTTATGGCCATATTGGCCACAACGGATACAAGCCTGCCGCGTGTAACGATCTCTCCACACGTCCTCAGTGAGACCCGCTTTCTCCCATGGAGGAGCATTGGGGTCAACTTGACTCCTAGACAAGGAATCTCCACGGCGTCTACCGGTTGCCTTACTTTTTGAGCTACGGTAGTGACTACTCCACCCCCTAAAGCTTCTACGCTGCCGGCTTCTGAACCCACTCCCGACTGGAAGTCGCCGTCCAATTCGATGGTGGAACCATCTTTGTCGACGAACATGATGCGTCCCTTCGCTTTCTAGTTGGGAGGTAGTGACTTTCTCCTACCATCCGTTGTGGGTGTCTGACCATGCCCTATCTTTGCTTCCAAGTCTAGGGCCTTCTTGTTGAACGAGGGAAAGTTGTGCATGTTGATGTTGGCCTCACCTGCGAACTGGTTCCTGAGAGGCATAAGAAAGCATCTCAGGTAGGATGTGAGTAAAACCTGGGGGTCAAAGCGAACCCCAAGGACACAGATCAGACACTCTACAACGTCAGTGGCCTCTCTTACTGACTTAAACTGCCTCATATGCGATGTCAGGATCGCGGCAGTAACCTTTTGGGCCTCTTGAGGATCATGCCACCTGTCTTCCACCAACTTGAGAAAGTCATCCAGGGTGACCGCCCAAGCGAGAAAGTCATGACCTTCTAATCATTCTTTCTTTTTCTGCCTTTATCTCTCCTAAGGCCTGTTGTAGCTGCGCCTCGCGATCAGCAGCTCGCTGTATGGCGACCTCCTCGGGAGTCAACACTAATGTCTGGCTTGCCATTACGCCAGTGGACTGACTCAGGGTCTGCACGATCGTTGACCCTGCTACGGTCCCTGAACTGCTAGCCTGGCAACTCTGTTGCGCAGCATTTGCCATGGTTGCTGAAGTTGCGGCTTCACTTGCGAATGCCCTGCTGGCCTCTGCTGCCCTAGCTCTTCGCTGCTGCCGCTGCCTCTCCCTTTGTTGGCGGAACAGCAACCTATCACCCTCGGGTCCTAATGCCACATGGGCAATCGGGTGTCTAGCCGATCGCAAGATCCGGTCGTCCTCACTAATGGTATCCCTAACACTCGTAAGCTACAGAACTGTACACAATCTGCACTAAGACACTCTTGATGCTTACTGCAGCATAGCGCACAGACCGAATAACTAATTAATCGGTGTCTGCGTCAGAGAGTATATACATTTGGGTCCAACAGGTAACTTCAGGTTCCTACAAACGAAACTAAACTACTTTGACTTTGACTACTTCGCAAACAGAAGCACAATGAACAGAAAACAGTTCTAAACTATGTTGTCTGTCATATGTCAATGGTTGTACATCTAACTAATCAAAATAAAAATAGAATCATTTGTTGGGTCTGTTTACAGAGTGGAATCTTGCCCAAACTTATCACCTGGAATCTACCCCTCCCTCAGTTCTTCCTGAATGTCTCTTGTCGGCAAAGTCCCTGAGCAATCCGGACAGCGTGCGTGTCTAAAGGTGTGCACACGGCCCACCCCTGTGCCCCGAGTCCTGCTGAGCTGGCCAGCCTTGCACAGTATTTATCCTTGTGTGCAGCGAGCCTTACACCGACCGATTGGCTGATCGGGAGGCGTTATATGGACTGCCCCCGAAGTCCTCAGGAATTCTTTACCGACGCAGACAGGACGACGATCACAGCCAATGGAAGGTACCCCGCCGGTGCTTATTTATAGACGCCCGGTCTCGTCTGTCCCCTAGGGCTGGCCTGCCCTTCAGAACCCCTCTACAGTGCAGCGAATAGACAATGGACAAAGCAGCAAAGCATGCGTGCTCTACTCCCGGTGGGTTGGCATGGTGACCGTGACCCAGTGCTTCGTCCAGGGCCCATCAGATAGCACCGCCCTCTCCTTCCAGATGCTCCACTTTAAGATTGACGACTCTCAAGGTTGAGCGCACACGACTCCTCACATGAGAGGAATCTCAAGACATAACACGCATCCTCACGGTAAGAAGTGTCGAAGAGGGCAGATAAGGTTAGGTGCAACGTACCTCAAAATAGTTGCCCCCAACCACAGATATTCTCACCAGATGCCCCGATGTTGATTGTGAACCAATCGCTGCTTCGACCCAACCAGCATTGCACAGTCGTTCCACCTTAGCATCAATCACACACCGGATAGTTCTTATCACACTGCGAACACCCAATAATCACCGCTTAGCATACTTGCGGCGCATCGACCTTGTGCGCTGCCCAGCGCGGACCCAAGGTGCGCGCACACCGGCGCGTGCCGCTCAGCGATGCGCTGCGCACAGGGCTGGTGCGCCGAGCGCGGGTTCGCTGGGGGGTGTGCGCTGCGGGGCCGCATATGCGCCAGGTGCGCACAACATATATTTTTTATTTATTATTTTTATGTTGAACTGAAAGTTGTAACACCCAACCCCCCCCCACCACCACCACACACACACACACTCCCTCTCTCTCTCTCTCTCTCTCTCTCTCTCTCTCTCTCTCTCTCTCTCTCTCTCTCTCTCTCTCTCTCTCTCTCTCT